GTTCTTTGATTCCCGTCCTTAAGGTCTCCTTTTCCTCTGCAAATCATCGAGACGATGGATTTTTTGGAGCGAAAAATTGTCAGTTTGCGCAGTATAATGCAGTGTACCCCCGTCAAAAATTGAAAAGGAGGGGCTGGGGAGCAAGCAGGACGGTTGAGGCGCGCATTCATGGCAAACATCAAGCAAGACTCGCCAACACCTTACAGTCACTGCGGACCGTAAAAAAAGCCATTAAAGATGCTAACAGTAAAAGGTGGGGAAACAGTTAGTACCACTCGACACAAACACGTCCTACGTGTTTGAGTTGGACAGTCCCGTTAGACTCAGTGTGTCAAAAAGGGGTGCCCTTTTTCCTGGCCTCGATTGAAGCAAAGACCCACGCAACACGTAGGGGGAGGGGACGTGTGCGTGTAGTGAGAGTGTGCGAAATGAGTTCTTGCAGTGATGTAGGAGAAGGGGGCATGAAGCGGACGAGAGGAGAGGGGAGGCCGAGTGCCGTTGCATCTGCATCACACTCAAACGGTAAATCCTTGTGACACCGAACGACATGACGAGGTCGGAGAGGTAAACACAAACAACCAAAAGTCAAATCCTGCATTAACATTTTTAATTGTAATTTTCAGGCAAGGTTAAGCATAAATGTAGTAAAAAAAACCTGCAAGTTGCTCTTTAATGTATTTATCCCTGGTTTATCAACCAAGCGAGCACATCCGCAATTATAAAGTCTATAAACTAACCTCCCCAGCAGGGTTTTGAGCTCGGCACCGATAGGCTCCAGGGAATATTTCTCCGGCATAGGGTTCCCGTCGGGGCGGCCCAGATGGCTCATCAGAACCACGGATTTGGCACCATTGTCCAGGCAGTGTTGGATGGTGGGAACGGCTGCCTTGATCCTGTAAGAATATCAAAAACATTAACATTCTGCCGTCTTCCTTTGAGAAACACATTTTTATGCTAACAATAGAAATGCTGTTGCATTAACTTCGTCAAAATGATAAAAGGGCAATATTCTAACTGCGATCGCTGATTTATTTATTTATTTAGTTAACAGATTACATTCTTCAGAAATCAGACAGACTTTACCTCTGGTTGTTTGTGATCTTCTTGTCCTTCATGGGAACATTGAAGTCGACCCTGAAAGAGATGACAAATTCATTACTAGAAAGAAATGGACAGAGAGAGTGGATGCATTAAAACATTTTGGCTTTAAGGGAAGAAAGGCACTCAAAGATATAACTAATAATATCTGTGTATCCTAATCTTTATCTGAACATGTTCAGAAATACTGGCTTCAAACAAAATGAAACACAAAACCATAGAAACTTGTTGTGTTGCTGCTGCATTGCATTCTGGTTCCTGTAGGATTACTCGGTAATCATTACAAAAGATACGTTCAGACACTTTTTAATGAAGCATCGGGGGTCTTTGTGTAACTGTAGCCAACGAGGCGCTGGCACACAGCCGTGCAGCGCTGCATGCTGGGAGCCTGTGGGAACATGCTGCATCCCTCGTCCTGGAGCCAGTTACGTAATCCCCCCCCCCTCCCTCTGAAGACCCATGAGACACATGATCTGCCTGCCCTGCACAAACTACACACACTACTCATACACAGTCTGAACGCACACCACCGTACACTCCTTTGTATTAGCTTAGAAACAACAGTCAGCACTTCAGTAGCCCAGCAGCTCGGTGCCATCCAACAACAACAGTAGTTTTCCGCTCGTACATCGATGTGACCTGCTGCTCTTGAGGATGATTCGGCATTTCATTAAAGGTTTTGCTGCATCATTTACACAAAACCCTGAAGCTTCAAGGATAAGTTGATAAGCCAAATCAACATAATTGTTTTTTATTAATCAGTTATTTTTATTTTTAAAAAAAGCAAAAATGGTGGATAATGCTGTTTTTAGCGACGCAAATATGGAGATTTCCCAACGCTGTTTTATATATTTGTGATGGAGTGAAATTTAAAAAACGTTGATGGAGATGTTTACCTTTTATAGACTAAATGACTAGTCTTTTAATCAAGGAAATAGTTGGCAGATGAAATGATCATTCGTTGTTTGAGTTAATACTCACACTTCTGTCTGATAAAGAGCTGAAGCAATAAGATCATCGCAAGATCTGAACACTGAAGAGCTGCAGATATTCACAGCACAGGTGAGGTGATGACAAACTTTAACTAGTGATTGGGTAGAAAGGCTAGTTAGGACTCATAACCTCCACTTGGTTACCTTTAGTAACTTGTTTTATCAGTAGCAGAACGGTAAGCTGTGACAGGCATTTTGTTTAAGCTTTCAACAGAGAAAACAATGTCCTTGAGTGAATGTATTGTTGTTCACTAGTAAATAAGAAGGAAGGGCTATCATGTGCAATGCATCTATTCTAGAGGAAATCAGTTCATGGTGTCGACTGAATTTGGCATCGGATTAGATTTGTGGCAAGAAATGCAGGTCTCTACAGCAACTTCCCTCTTTTTAATTCTGTACCAGCACTTTACACAACACCTCCCCACACACACGGCATGCTGCGACAGGCCCTGGGTGTGATATGAAGTATATGATTGTCTCTTACACGAAGACTTAATTTGACCTTTTAACCAGCGCAGTGTGGGCCGGGGTCTGCTGCTGCTGCCGGTGAACCTTGTCCTATGCTGCCTGTAGTTCAATCACCAAGCCGAGCAAACCAAAGTGGCCCTCTGACATTTCCACAGAGGGTGTCAGTTTCAAGTGAACTTCCATCAGCAATAGCTATCACATAATAATAATGCATTACACATGAATATAAAGTCATTAAAAGCAGCTCCACCGTTACCAGCTGCAACATTTAAGTGAACACAGGAATGCATCAATATTTATTATCCAGTTTTACAATGCAGATTATTTAGAATTATTCACAATTCGACCCACTTGGTATGTTTTGATTCTAGTATTGTTTCCACCTTCATGACTTTCAATATAGTTATATAGTAGTGATGTTACTTTTATAAGAACACAATAATTCTACTAGTGGAATAAAAGTCATGCATTAGAATATGCTTAAGTATAGGTATAATTATCCCTTTACATTGCTGCTGTGAATCCCCCTGTATGGATCAATACAGTATTTTTCATATAATATTATAGTTTGTTGGTCATATTATGTATTTCCAATCTTAACCTGGGGAGATAATCAAGTAAAGTACAAGTAACTCGAATTGTACTTGTGTATTTAAGTACGTGTGCTTGGTTTAAATGGCTATTAGTCTTTCAACTCAGTGGTGAAAGTATCAATTAACACTCAAGTATTATAGTTAGGTACAATTTCAAAAATGACTTTGAAGGTTTTATAGACTAATAGATTACATATTGATACTTGCATGACTAATGAATTTCCTCAGGTTATCTATGCAGTGTGGGACAAACATGTTACAATTATGCAGTGATGTTACTGTGCATAGTTTCTTAAAGGATTGACTAAATAATGTCGGATACAGCAGTTGGTTGCATCCATGCAGCATCTCCTCACAGGCACGTAATGTTGTTACATGGATGAAAAAAACGTGACGCCAATAACTTAGCCATCAATTCAGTGTCACTGTGGCAGCACCAAACCGTGAGTAACCCCATTATTTAAACAGACTAACGTGTAACCACATGAATTACATATGTGCGGAGTGGAAAATCTCCAAGCTGTCAGTTAGCTGGTTTAGCTAACGTCAAATAATCCCATTTCCGTTTAGCTTGTTGCAACGGTTAGGACAGTAACGTAGCAACCAACCTCATAATGACACGCTTCCCCTTGACGTCCACCTTATCCAGGGTGAGTTTGGTAGAGAGAGACATGTTTCTTGTATTTTGCCGGTTCTGCTCCTTCCTCAGCTGGGTCTCCTCCGCTTCTTTCGACTGGTTAGCTACCGAGTGACGGTGACCTTAACACGGCGTGGAGTAGCAGAGGCAGGGCGGTTCTCTTTATACATCCATGGTTACCATTGGCTGTGATAGATTACACCTCCGTCTTGTGATTGGTTAAAGGTGGCGGAGAGGAGCTGTTTCATTGGATACGGTTGCTGCTTGTTCTATGACGTAACCACGTTGCTCCCAGAACGATCCTGTTGAAGTGTACTCAACTGCACCTTTTCTGCTAATTCCTGTTTCTACTATATTTCTCACTTCATTAGTTCATAGTTGCTTGTTAAGTTAAAAATGATATGTTTATGATATGATGCAGAATCATGACCGAAAGAACGAGATCGCGGGTACAGGCGGCCGAGATGGGTTTTCTCCGCAGGGTGGCTGGTGTCTCCCTTAGGGATAAGGTGAGAAGTTCGGTCATCCGGGAGGGACTTGGAGTTGAACCGCTCCTCCTTCGCGTCGAAAGGAGCCAGTTGAGGTGGTTCAGGCCTAGTTAGGCGTACGGACCTCGGCGATTGTACTGTTGTACCAATAATGATGTTCAAGAACGGCCTCTCGTGTATGATTGCTTAAATATAGAATGTTATGGTATTCTTTAATAATGTAACTCTTTAAAAGAAGCCCTTCTGCTAAATTATTACTTTGATGCTTTAATTTCCTCTTAAAATGTTTGTAATTCTACATACTTAATATTTTGATGCAAGACTTTTGGTTTTAAGATGTAACCACTATCATGACATTAAAATATAACATTTGAACTCGGCAGAAACAGAAAACCTATGAAGTGCTTAAGCTTACAGCAGTAATATATAATGGATTACAAAATAACTACAATCATCACGTTGTATGCCTCCGTCAACCGGTCAGGCTGCAGTTTAAATATCATCACTTCTTCATTTTATCCTTAGACATTGGTGTGGAATGGTCAGATTTTACAAATGAATCATTGAACAGGTTTTATGAGGCCACAGTGACCTTGATCGCTTTTCACCACATTGTAATTAGTTTTCCCCTGAATCCAAAAAGACATTTTTGCTAAATTGAAAAAATGTCCCAAAAGGCATTTCTGAGATATCACGACACAAGAACAGGTTGGGCATACAAAAAACCTGGGGAAATGATCAGTAGAATCACATTTAATTTATTTGGACAAATTAACATGTTGGAATAAACACAGACATTCACTGTTATTCATCTGTACAAAGAGAAGGTTTATTATTAGGTGGGGTGCAGGTCTGTCATGGCATGTCTTCACTCCTCCTCTGCTTCTGCCTCTCTCCACTCCATGGGCATGACCTTCCCAACAGGTGACGGATTCCAGGTGATGCCAGTCTGAGTCACCACCTGCACAAAGACAACACTAGTTTTAAGGGCAATGGCACACTTTTATTGGACTATGTAAGACTTTGCAGTGCACATTTTTCAAAAAATGTAAATGCAAGTTCACACGAAAAGTAAGATAAAGAAAACGTTTCTCTATCAAAATGATACAACCAAACCAGAGGTTGGTCAATGGAAAACATACACAATTAAATACAAACAACTCAAGTACATTTTTATATCCAAAGTCAAAACTAACTGAGCATATTGAAGTATTTTTATTGTAATAAAATACCATTGCAATGTAAGACTTGTCAGTAAATAAACACGCAGAGTTTGCCCTCCAGTGGTTAACAAGTTGTATGTACCTATTTACTTTCTGAGCAGCAAAACGTAAATTATTTAAAGGTAGGCTAACTGGTGTGATTTGTTTGCATGATGAAGCAAATTAAATTCCAATAACTTAGGATCTTTGCACAAATCTATTATATTTGCAACTTCTCAGCCATTTCATTTCATTTGAGTTAAGTTTGTTTTAATGTTTCTGTTCTGTAACTGGAATCCCAGAACTTACGTATGACCACACAGCCACGCAGAAGCCGGCTCCAGAAACCATCAGGAGGTTGCCGTACTTCTTGTTGAAGTTCACTTGGGCGGTGGAATTGTGCCTCACCTGCCTTGCGGCCTGACCTGGAAGACAGCAAAACAAAGTGGCATTTATATACTGCACAATTACCATGTTGTTATCTTTAAAAAGCAGTTGTTCATGCCTTTCAATGTGCCATTCACTTTATGGAATTACTCAGGCTTCTATGAAATGAATATAAATACATTCAAATAGGCACAATTCAGGGTAAAGTTACAAAACAGAAAATCCATCATATCTGGATACTCTGATGAAGATTGCTATTTTCTGTCCGTTTTATTTTCCAGGCACTTCTGCATGTCATATCAACAACAGCAGATAAGGATAGGTTTGATTTTTGTTTAAATAAATTACAGTTTGAAGTACAATACAAATGGCTACACTATTTTTATTGTTCTCTTAATGTGAATCTTATGTTCATGAGTAATCTTTCTGTTTTCACTTGCTTTGCCTGTGACTTGGTCTTTTTTCCAACGACTTCTAAATGAGTTAGCCAGATAAGACAATGTCCTTGTTTACCCTTCCATTTGACAGTCGAAAAGTCTAATTTTAAGCACAATAAATAGACAGTTAAGGGTTGGTTACTTTTGAAAAGACTAAAAGGCAATCCGTCTTTCACATAACTGACTTAAAAATATAAATAACATTATAAATAAAACAGCTTAGTATCATTATGCTAACTCTTACAGGTCAGTTTACTTGGGCATCGCGATGGTAAATTGGCATATTAAAAGAGCACTTCCACATTTTAGATGAACTCAATACTAAAGAACAAACTACCTAGATTAATGGAAGACACTTCAATGAATTCAATAAAGACAAGTAAAACGTCTTCGGGAGATGCTAATGTTAGCTTGGCTAGCAAGCTTAGCACGCTGACCGAGGTGACCCACCAAAGAAAGGAGGGTCAAACTTATGGTCGATAATGAAATGTCACTTGGCATCAATACACACATCTAACATACATTCCTACAAACACTGTTTTGTTTCTTACCGGTGAGGTTGAGTGCAGCTTTAGCAAACCGGAACATGTTGTCTAGCTTAGTTACTTTAGGCTCGGATACCCTTGAAGACGGTAGTGCAATATGGCCGCCTCACGTAGACAAAACGGAAATTACGTTTGCCAGTGTTAGCATCCGCCGAGCTACATTTTACGCTGAAAAGTGTGCAAACAAGTAATTCACACAGTTTAAGACATATAAATACAATGAAACACGTACACGGAGTAATTTATATTTATTTATTTGGTAAATACAGCAACATTTTGACTTCTATATGGGTTTGTATATTGAATAAAAAGCTACTGGAAGTTAAGTTTCAACATCGTGTCAGGATGGCCGAGTGGTCTAAGGCGCCAGACTCAAGGATTAAGCTCCTTCCGCTTGAAACGGGATTTCTGGTCTCCGAATGGAGGCGTGGGTTCAAATCCCACTTCTGACATATCTTTTTTGTTTTATGAGAGGAAAAAACGACAACATCAGCTTTGCGATAATTAATGGCGTCAAAATCATTGTACTTAATGGGAAACAAACATCCACATTTGATCGCAACTGGGTGAGACAACTGAAACCAATTCTTGTTGTGTAAAGAAGTAGCTTTCAAGAGCTTATGTTTTACAAGAGAGATAATAAACAGTCACTGATGTCTTATTAATTACGTGGAATTTCAACAATATGTCTAGGTTTTACACATTCAGCCACTGCCATTACATTGACCAATCAAAGTGGTCCAACAAAGACCCAAAACATTAAGTCACACAGTGTTGAACTGAATAACAACAGTATGTTAACTCATCTGTGACTGCAGCAATCTTTCCATGTTCAAATCACAAATCTAATCTCACTTTTCAGAACTGCTTTTAAATCTGTAATTAATGTTGAGTTTGATATATTTTAAGAGTGTAGTTTTATATATTGTTAAATGATGTGTTACTCTGTAAAGTGTTCTTGTAAATACAATTTATTACTATTATAATAATTTGTTATGATTCAACAACTTGTTGAGATGTACAAATGAGTTCAATGTATATAATAAATTACAATCAACCTATGGATTTACATTTACCATTTAACATGTTACAGATTTTCTAGTTTAATATCTGGTTAAACAATTATTACAATGCTTTAAATACAACATAATTGCAATTGATATCATATGTAACATGTAAAACCGAATCCTTATCAAGGAATTAAAAAACAGATTTACAATCTTAATTTTGTAGTTTTCTTTATTAAGTCAAAATATCATTTTTCAGGATTATGACATTTATTTTAAGTATGTACATCATGCATACTAAACATATTCCATCACTGACTCTGTTTTTATGGAAAGTGGCCATTCTTTCCACTTTGACAGGGACAATGGTGACGAAATAAAAATGTATGATTTAACACATTTAAAATATTCAATATAACTTCAGGATTAATCAATATTTCCTTGCAAACAAAGCAGAAGAATCTTTTAACGGACACATTTGTGGATGAAAACAAGTTTCTTGTCTTGTATCTTTTGCAGCCTACAAACACGGACTGTGAAATATTGCTTAAAACATGCTCTGACTAGTGTCAAAGAAGCATGTAAACTATTACCTAAAACATTCAATTGTTTGCTAGTGTTTTTGAGAATCTTAACTGGCCTTTTTAGTGTTTTTTACGATCCATTTCTCTGTGCTCTGAACTTTTCTCCTGCAGCATGTAATGATCAACAGAACACTACTTCATGTAAATGAGAGCTTCACGTTTATCATTAATTATTTCTTTAAAAACATTGCACGTTACTTTTTTTATACCCGCTCTACGGTCCAAAATTCACATTGTTGTGTGAAGCAAAGAAAAGTAACAAATTGTAATAACTGAGAAGCTGAAGCCAGAGAATATTTTCATAGTTTTGCTTAATGGTTAATTGATGTTACATTTAGGATTTTGGGCTATGCAGCAAACAACATGGATTGTCTTTTTGAGTTTTACAGTCTCAAAATCTGTGAACCCCTGCAAAAATATCTCAGGATTAATTAAAGAAAAGAGGGCCTCAAAAGAGAAAAATAAATAAAATCTGATAAATGTATTACGGGACCGGTGAATTGAGATTAGCAGATTCACTGGATAGGTTTTCAATACATCTGGACGTCATTGCCCTTATTGTTCAAAGATCAGGGCCCGTTCACCATATAACCGTTTGAACAGTAAATGTTGTTGGTACAGTATAACAAGCAGTATTTTTGGGAGGACTTCTTAAGTATTTGTTTATGAGAAAATTCCTGTTTTCCCTCAGCCAGCGGGGGGGGGTCCAAAAAACAAAAACACTTTACAGATAAACTTTAATTTCAAATGAGTCATTTCCAACCCTATAGCGTCTGATCTATTTTCAGGGAAACCAAACTATCTTTTGGTGGGAATCAAAGATTATCCTGTTAAATTGAAATGTATTTTTACACACCCTGGCTCCAGACCCTCAATATATGTGTAGTCAATTTGAAAGGAGAATACTTCCTGAGACAATTAACTTCAATGTGATCCGAGCTGAAACCTTGATGAAAGGAATGTGTACAACCTGCAATACATCAGCAGCGATATCTAAGGGTAACTTTGGTATTTTCTCATATGTTTGCGTCTAAAGATGAAAAGGGGCAACATTTTTTTGTAAATGGTCCAGCATTGAGTCAGAGAGCTGGAAACCATTGTTGGAATCAGCTTAATATTCAGCCTTGATATTCTAAATGCCACTAGGCTTTCTATACTCCAACAACACCAACTCTTCCGGGCACTTTCCAACTCTCAGATCAAACAAAAAAATAAGAAAAAAAGTGTTATTCCTGTGTAGCTTTCTTTACACAATGTTAGCTTGAACTTGAATAAAACGATGAGAGTGTCAGTGGCAAATACAGTCGCTTTTAGTTGACTTTGATCTACCGAGCTGTTTCTGCTGGCTGCAGCGCTATCGCTTAATACAAGACCAGTTTCAAAGATGGTTGTCCCAATTAGTAACTAAGACTAAAAATACCCAAATGACCCTTTAATAAAGTGTACGACAGAGCTGTGGATGTTCTCCTCCTTCAGACTACCTACAGGACATTTAACCGTCATTGGTCCACATTCTTGATTCTCCAAAACAACACAAGGATCCATTTTAAAGAGATAAAAACAACTAGTCACAATGCAGTATCTTTTAAATGTTGATGCCAAGAGATAAATGGAATTCAGTCACTCAGCATATAAAATGCAGGATAGTGTCCAAAAGTATTAGAGTACATATAGAAGACTGGCCCTAATAGGAGGCAACAGGCGTCAGAATTACAAACATTAAGGCATCAATCATTTCCCCCGTCGCGTTCACTTTTCATTCTCTAGTCCGTCTTCTTGTCTTTTACCTCCTCGTCATCTGTGTACTCTGCGGGCTCCTCGCCTGGTTTCAGCAGCTTACCAATGTAATCATACTTAACTGTAACAGGGGGGGCAAGAAGAGAATACAACAGTTTATAACAGCCTCATATAATTCATTCTCAGCTGGATATCAAAGGACACTGGATAATGTTTGTTCATGCAACCAGGGGCGGACTGGCCATCGGGACGAATCCCGATAGGCCGGTACTGAAGTGGGCCGGTCGGACGATGTGGGCCGGTCGGATAAGTCACACACCCCCACCCCCCGTCGACAATTTACTTGCGGTAATTACTTGCAGTACAGAAGTGGATGCATGTGCAACCCAATTTAATATCGCTCAAGTCATGAAGATAACATGTGATTTGCTTCTGATGTTTCAGGAAAAAACGTCACCAATGTTTTGTTTAATAACCACTTCCTCTCAAGCCTCATTTGAGTAATTATCTTCCTAACGTCAAAATAAATTAAGTTGACAAAATGTCACAAAAACAGATGGTATGGTCCAACACATACATTTCTGCTTTACAAATATTTTTTAACCAATGATGCTCAAAATAAATCTGCAAAAGGAAAGGTGAATGTATGATTCCATCAGCTCCTCAGTGTTACATGGACACGAGGAATTGGTCAAGTAGTTGGTTGTGCGAATTGAGGAGGACATATTACAGAAGTACGGGCTGTCCGTCATTATGTTTTGGGCTCCGAAGCTTTATCAGAAATGAACAGCACATCTTTTGAGCATGACTAGGGAAAGACACCAAAGCGCTGTGACACATTTCTCTGAATTTAATTAACAAGCATTTACTTTTACGGCTTCTGTTATTCTATAGTTTGGGGATTTTTCCAAATGCTCTAGTGCTTTTAATGCATATATGTAATTCAGATTCATGAAGAGATATTACTGTTGATATCTGTAAAAGCTGTACAACAGTAACAGGGTATATGCAGGAATCCTGAAGTCAAATGTAATTCCTTTTAAGACCTTTTTTAAGACACTTTCCACACATTTTAAGACCTCATCGCCACTTTGAGTTTTAACCGGTTACCTTGGCGACACACTTTACCTCACATTGACTATATACAGTACTGATTATCCTTCCTCCTTATCTTCCAACCATTTGGACGCAGACTTGCATTTCCCCATAACGATGTTGTTTAACAAACGGCGTAAACAGAGCTTCGCACGCTATCAAGCAGTGAGCGTCCGATATCCTGTTCAGATGACGTCAAATCCAACGGGATGCCATAAATAAACTACACAGAATCACACTACACACCTACGCAATGATTACATTCAGGCAGACTGTAGAATACAACCTCTTTGGACCATTTATATACTTATTGAAAACAAGCTACAAAATGTCAACTTTTAATACTTTTTAAGACCCTGAGGACACCCTGAGTAACTGCGTCTATGACTCACAGGTGAACTGCGTCTCCCACTCAGATAGGCCCTCCTGCTGCATGGTGTTCAGGTCCGACAGGTCGTCGTGCTCGTCTTTCAGCGCCTCTTTCTCCAGGCAGAACGTAGCCAAACCTCTGGAAGCATCTTTGCCTGCAAACACTCCATATGGACCCTCTGCAAGATGGAAGAGATACAGAACAGTGAGGCAAATGCAACAAGTGAGCACAACTCAACATGTGTTTTTTTAGCTGCACCTTTACCAACTTTGATAATACTTTAATGATCAATCATTATAATCAAAACATATCATATATATTA